CTTTTTATTTCAAAAACACACAGAAAAACGGAGAAATCACGCACAACCACGCCCTACTGGTGTAAGAAGCTATTACGTCAGAATGATTTTTATGTTTATTTTTAGTTCGAAATTGACAGATTATGGTACCAAATTAAAGAGTATGTTTTGTCTATGTCTGTATTATGCATTTCAGTATAACTTTGTTATAATTTTTAATGACAAACTATTTTGCTATATTATTGTAGATTTTTGTTGGCGGGGTGACCTGTAATGTAGTTATTCTGTGTTTCGAATGGTGAGTGTACAGAACCGGAGACCGTTTTTATTGGAAACAAAGTATTACATCTCAGTCCTCAGTAATGATATGCATTCAGGAGAGATGAATATGTCTATGAGCCACAGCCTCCATTTACTATTAGTTGGACGGTGTGCTCATTGGCCAGCCTGATTCTATAAAAATAAACTTACTCAGACGGACCTCTAGACAGAACAGGAACTAACATAAAGTAGAAAAAGAAGTAGTAGTTAGCCCTCTAAATCACTTCCAGGTTGCAGTGGGCTTTATTTTGTGTTTTCTATATCAGATACCAATCAATATGTGTAACGGTAAATACCAATTGTCATACTTACCGCTTAGTTTATTGGCAAACGCATTAGCCTTCAAAGTACATTCATAAATAGTTTTATTTCTCTACTTTTCTAGTATAGTCATTCAGCGAGGAAACGCTAGCGTTCTTGCCTGATACATGATCATTTAAGCTCTTAGTTTTAACTTTATGAATTTTTAAATAAATGCATAGAGTATGCACATATTGTTCACAAAACCCATGCTCGACCGTTCTTTCTAAAGGTAGTGAAAACTGAATCAAAGACCATCAGGTTGTTTCAAAGTGTAAAGCGATTATCAGACAGACAAGGAAAAGCTAAGTTTAAGAATACACATACACAGTACACAACACTTCAGTTCAGAACCCGAGACCCGTTTTGTGCTGTACCCGAAAATAACTCAACGTGGAAGCCATCATATTTTTTAAACTTTACCCTCCACTAGGATTTTCTCCTGTATCGTGTGGGCAGTTTACAAACAAATTGCACAAGCACAAACATCCATACTCGGCACAATTATTCATTGGCCATACAAATAATGGTTCCGTGCGGAATTCGAACCCGCAGCCCTCAGCGCCACAAGTGCGTCACGGTGTCGTCAATGGTGTTGTAATTATGAATATATTGTAATAATTATTTTATTGATATATTTTATGCAATTTTATTTCTGGTAGGTTTAATATTTTTTACTATAAAAGTACACAATATTAAAAATAATGCAAAAAAATAACACGTTACATTAACTCATATAAAAAAAATAAAATTAACATAATTTAAGTATTTAACGTAATTAAAACAATGATGATTCCAGTAAAGACGAAATTTAAATAAAATTACTGAATAATAAAAAAAATAGTAACTACATTTTTCATTGTGCTCTTCATCATTATGATTTATGTTTGAGATAATAATTATGTTAGGTATTATTTGATACCGTTGTGTTTTGTTTTCTTTTTATGTCGAAGAAATATTATGTAGATTTCATTGCATTTAATTTTAGGGAACATTTACAATATAAAGAAAAAGGAGTGGAACTAATACATACTCATTTCTTTCTTTATCTCTTTTAAACAGTTCTTTTTCAAATACGGTGCACAAGAAAGGTAAAGTGACATGACATTAGCTTAGCTGGTTTTTTATTATTTACTAATTAGGAATTTTGTCAAAACGACATGTCAACCCTATCATACATTTAGACTATTATTGCTAACACTATAGAACGCAATTGTACTGAAATATAATTAAGAGTAATGATTAAAGTGCCGTGTAGTGGCGGCGCGGTGCGGCGAGGCGTAAGGATATCCACTGTTCCATCATCTTCCCGCGGGTGTCGTGAGGGGCGCCAAAGAGAAGCAAATCAGGAGATGGGCAACAGCATCTTCCTACGACTTAAGCCTTTACAACGACTTAAATAAAAAGCTGCGCTTGCTGAACGTGGTGATATCCCCCTATGAGGCAATCTCTGGGGGCGACTTGTGTTCCGCAGTGGTCTTTAAGAGGCTGTACTGGTAAGAAAAAGTCTTGGACAGTCTAATTGGGTAAGAGTGCGAACTGCCAACTCCGATGGTCACGGGTTAGAATCCGCGAAATATTTATTTATTTAAAAGCTTAAAAATAATACCTACGCTTAGCTCTAGCGTACATAGGACGAACTTAATGCATTTTCTGTCTATATACAGACCGGATATATATAGACCGGATATATATATAGACCGGATATATATATAGACATCAACCCCTGGTAATCCGGACTCTGGCTAATCCCCCCTTGTAATTCGACATGTTTTTATCTTGTAGGTAGATTCGAGTCACGCTATAAATCCGCAACGGAGAAATGTCCTTCGGGAATACGTAGACAAACAGACTGCTATCAGTTCGCGCCACCACGAATCAGCTTGACTGTTGTCTATTTTCTCAGTTCAAATGTGACTATGGTAGCGGCCTAGCGGGCGTTCATTCATTGCGGTTTACGTATTCATTGTGCATCACATGACAGGTCCAGCCTTTTCGGAGATTAGCCGGAACAAACAAACAGACCGACAAAAGTTTTAAAAATTGTTTTTGTTAGGTAGGTAAATATATACATATATATTTTCGACATTATAATTATTATATTCGACTAGTCGTGAACTACTCAACACAAGCAGAAGTGGTTAACGGGACTATTATAACGTTCGCTAATTAATCGGTTTTGACCACAACAATATCTTATCGAGCGATAGCAATTTTTAACCGTTCATTTAATTAGAGCATTTTGTGCAGTTTGCGCTTAGCGGTAGTTAGTAAGCAAGTTGTAATTTTAGTCATTAGCTTTTTACAATTTAATAACAGGTGCGTATGAAACTGAATTTTGAAACGAATTTACAGTCCACCTGATGGTAAGTGCCCGTGGACACCTGCAGCCAATTACAAACAATGAAAGCTGCAGGTGCGTCGTCACACCTGAGGACTATAATGGAATGCCCAGTTTTCAATAAAAAGGGTCTCCAACAATACGAAACTCAATAGCATTGAGCTGCTCCTTACTCTGGTGTTCTGTGAGTGTGAGAGTGCGGCTCTACCCGGTCGAGCCGACCCACTCACGCTGCCACCATAATATAGCTGCAGCGTTGCTCTACCATAATGTACATAACTTGCTTTAGATTTTTTATATAGGATAGGGTGACAAACGAGCACACAGTCCACCTGAACATCTACATCTATCCTCGGTTACGAATCAAAATGCAGATGCTTTGTCAGCCTTGAGGACTAAGATGGAATGCCATGTCTCCAGTAAAAAGGTTCTCCGGTTCTCTACACTCACCATATGAAACACATTAATATATATTACACATTAATAACAACATTAAGCTACTATTTCACGCTGGTATTCTGTGAGAGCGTGGTCCTTCCCCGGTCGAGCCGACCCATTCGTGCAACAACTATACTACTAATATAACTGCAGCATGGCTCTACCACGTATAAAATTTATAGTGCACTCTACTCTCCAATTAACTTTTCAGCTTTTCACTACTTTTTTTATTGCCTTTTTGTAGGATGTTTAGAAGAAACTGCTTACCAACTTTTGTTTTTACACGACTTCAAAAAAGGAGGAGGTATTTTGTATCAATTCGACTGTATTTTGTATGTCTTTTAGCTCAGAACGTATTTCTAGGTGAACTGATCTTGATGATTCATTTTCTATTTGAAAACTGGAGCTTCTCATGTGTTCCCATAATTATTTGATCTTTAATAATGTATATATAATGTGTTTAATTGACTACATAGATGATGTTCTCATTTTATTTATATTCAAGTCGGTTGTACAAAGTTTTTATTTTACCACTAGTTCTCTTTATTTTTGTTCTTTATTATGTATTTCGTTTTTAAAGGAAAGCAACGCGACGGCTTCACCGGAGTACCCCCGGCGCAACCGATCAATTCGTGTTTTCATTTCGTTGCGTAGTATAAATGTTTTCCAAGTCACGAATTACAACGCGCGCACTAGAGCAATCAATAGTACAATTAAAGCGGGTTTTCTCAGCGCGCTAATGGTGACATCTATTTACGCGCAAATTAATTTATTACTCAATTAAAATTCAACATTATTCAATAACGGCTTTGACAGGCTTTTAGCCAAAACAGATCAGCGTGTAATAAAACTACCATTAATATAGCTCATTAGATTTTTGGTGCACGAATTTAACCTCGCAGGTTTTGTATTAAGAGTCCTCAGTAAACGGAAGTACATTATATTCCATATGTGTACGTCATGCGTAACATTTGAAACAGTAACTTTTCACGTTGCTGAATTTCTTCCCCATTTTTAATGTTTTTCTTTAATTTACATTAGCTATGTTTATTGAACTTGAATAATAATAATAATAATAATAATAAATATAATGGCGTAGGGAAGTGACGACCCCATCGCCCGTTGACGTGACGGTTATGTGACAAAACCGCTACGTCCGCGCAGTCAGTCAGCACCTTGCCAAGAGGTGTGAGCGCCGTGCCTCGGCAAAAATTGATGGTGCAAGGGCCCGCTTGTGCATATGGCCTCACCATGAAACGGCGCCGGGTCTGGGCGTCTCCCGTTAAATGACGCCCTGTATGGATGATGGAACATAGAAGATTGCGCAAAGGGCCGCTGCCTGGAGGTCGTCAGGGCGCGTCTGGAGCTGGCGCTGGACGCGACAGCATGCGAACCGCCAGCCGAGCGCGAGGTGCTGCACGACCACCCAGCAGCCCCTCGCATCCATCATCCCCACCAGCTTGCTTGGTGTCGGCAGGGTCTTCGCAGGCCCAGCAATCGGCACCCGCCACTGGTGGAGTACGCCGCATGCAATGGACCATCAATATGAATTCAAACGCATTGCGGGCGTATTTTAGGGCGAAAGGGGGGAGAAATTGGAGGTTTCGCGTATCGGGCTAGGATGCATCGTCTTTTTACTGAGCTGGAGCCATCTATTACTGTCACCGAGCAAAACCTGGCAGACCGAGTTCGGTATATCTTACGCTCAAATATATTTGATGGCGCCGAACTCGAACGGCTACGACGTGAGGCTGTTCCCTCATCAAATGAAAACGCTACGACTGAGGGTGCGGTGCCACAAGTTGCAGAACAACCCGCACACGTGGATGCCGCCGAGAATACCCCAGTGGTTGCTGATTCAAATGATGATGGAACATTCACCCAGGAACTAGAAATAGAGCAAATGAGGAGTACATTGGAAGAGGCGATTATGGAAACGCGCAGTACGCCTCTCGAAAATCGACCGCGACTTCCCCGCATAGCCCTAAGCAAGCGGAATCGGGCTGTCGTGAGGGCTCTGAACCCAATGCTGGTGACCTATTTGGAAGCCAGCCGGGACCTTTGCGAGACGGACTCAATTCTCTTTGGCGCCGCACTGGCAGTCTGCCGTATTATAGGCGCCAAACTTTCCACGGCTGGACGCACTACTGGACAAAGTAGTGCTATCCCAGCCTGGAGAACAAGAATTGAAGAACGTATCGCAAAGGCTAGGGCCCTCATCGGCAGACTGATATGCTTCAGGTCAGGCAATACCAGGCCAAGGATTGTGCGCACCGTCAGGATGGCGTTTGCTGGGACAAATGTTAGTTTGTCCCAGCCGGATATAATGCAAAAACTGACGGAGCACATAGACGACCTGAAGCAGAGAATCGCTGCTTGGGGAAAGCGAATTCGGCGATATACCGAGAGGTCGACACGGTTCAACCAGAATCGTCTCTTCCAGAGTGATCAGAAGAGGCTCTATAAATCATTGGAGCGACCAATGGTAAGTGGAACGGGCCCAGTACCGAATCAGGCCGACACGGTCGCATTCTGGCGCAGCCTGTGGTCAGAGCCCGTAAACCACAACGAGGGCCCTTGGACGGAAGTTGTGGCGAGTCAGTGTGCGGGTATTACGCCCATGGACCCCGTCACCATAACGCCGGGTGACGTAGCTGAGGCGGTCCGTAGGGCCCCGAACTGGAAAAGTCCGGGACTCGACGGGCTGCATCACTACTGGCTGAAGGGGTTCGTGGTGTGTCACACTGTGCTCGCCCGACAGTTTCAAGAGGTTCTCAACCAGAAGTCGCTCCCGAGCCTCTTCACTACTGGGATCACCCATTTGGTTCCTAAAGGCCAGAGTACCACAGACCCGAGCAAATACCGCCCCATCACATGTCTACCGACCATATATAAGACACTAACATCCATTTTGAGCGCGAGAATCACTCGTCACCTGGACTCAAATCAGGTGATGTCGCGCGCTCAAAATGGATGTCGGGGCGGCGGTCGTGGAACCAAGGAACCACTCCTCATTGACGCGGTCATTGGCAAAGTGGTGAAATGCAACCGTCGGAACTTCTCCGCCGCCTGGATAGACTACAGAAAGGCATTCGACTCGGTGCCCCATACATGGCTAAAGAGAGTCCTCGAACTGTACAAGATAGACTGTACAGTTAGAGACTTCCTCGAGCAGTGTATGGGGCAGTGGAGTACGATCCTTTGTCATCTGGGCGAGCGGATGATGGCTGCGGAGAACCACATAAGGATAAGAAGGGGTATCTTCCAGGGCGATTGTCTGAGTCCAATATGGTTCTGCCTCTCTCTGAACCCTCTCAGTACCTTACTGGAGGGCTCCGGGAGGGGGATTTCAGCTACGGAAAGGAGGGACAAAAGTGACCCACCTTTTTCTATATGGATGACCTCAAGTTATTCGCCTCCAGTCGCTCCCATCTTATGGAACTGCTAAACATCACTTGTGAATTTAGCAATTCCATTGGAATGGAGCTGGGGACGGATAAGTGTGCGGTCCTCCATGTTGAGAGGGGGTAGGGTTGCTAACTCTGAGGGCATAGACTTATCTATGCCCGTCAACTTAAGGACCCTTTCCGAGGCTGAAACATACCGATACCTGGGTATGTCACAGAACATTGGTATCGATGAGGCTGGTATGAAACAGTCAGTTTGCGACGTGTTTTATGCACGCTTGACCAAAGTGCTTAACAGCCTTTTGTCCGGTGTGAATAAGACACAAGCATATAACGGCTGGGTCATACCTGTCCTCATGTATACCTTTGGCATACTCAGGTGGACTCAGACTGAACTTAACGCCCTGGATAGAAAAGTCCGCACTACCATGACGTCCCACAGGATGCATCATCCGAGATCGTCGGTAATGAGGCTGTATTTGCCGCGAAAGCATGGTGGGCGTGGCTTCTTGAGCGCGCTCACCATGCATAATCGCGAAGTGTGCAGCCTCCGTAATTACTTCCTGGCGAGATCGGATGATCCATTCTATATGGACGTCATTTCTTGTGATAAAGGACTTACCCCTCTATCCTTAGCCAACGAGCAATGGCAAGACCCGGCAGTGCAGACAATTTCCGACCGGGAGACCGTATGGAAGGAGAAGGAGCTCCACGGGAGGTTCTACAAGTCTCTACATGGGCCTTTCGTAGACACAGTAACCTCTCTCCACTGGCTACGCTTTGGTGACCTCTTCGGGGAAACCGAGGGTTTTGTCTGTGCAATACAGGATCAGGTTATTAAGACCAACAACTATCGGAGATACATCCTAAAGGATGGCACCATCGACATCTGTCGAGCTTGTCGCCATCCCGGTGAGTCACTTAGGCATGTCATCTCCGGTTGTTCGGCGCTTTCTAACTCTGAGTACTTGCACAGGCACAACCTAGTAGCCAGAATTCTACACCAGGAGCTCGCTCTGAAATACGGTTTCGTGGATCGGAAGTTGCCGTATTACAAGTACTTGCCGGAAGCCGTGCTCGAAAATGATCGCGCCAGGCTCTATTGGGACCGGGCCATCATCACAGACAGGACTATTCTTGCGAATAAGCCTGATATTGTGCTGATGGACCGGGCACAGTCAAGGATATTTTTGGTCGACATTACCATTCCGTGTGACGAGAACCTCGTGAAAGCCGAAACAGATAAGCAAACAAAATATCTGGACCTGGCTCACGAGGTGACCGACATGTGGGGTGGTCTGCCGACCGAAATTATTCCTGTAGTCGTCTCTGCAAACGGGCTAATCCCAGTCAGCCTCTCGGGTCATCTGAGGCGGCTGGGACTACGTGGCGGACCGCTCCAGGCTCAAATGCAGAAGGCGGTGCTCCTCGATACCGCCCGCATCGTCCGCCGGTTTCTTTCCCTTTCCCCCTAACCCTCGGCCGTTTGGTCTCCCCTGCCGAGGGCTTCCATCTGGTTGGGCTTTTATTTATTTATGTATTTTCATATTTATTTTATTTTATTGATATTTTTGTATGTTTATCTTTTCATTTTCGTTTATAATTATATATTTATACATCCCAACCAGATGAGAAAACTATATAGATACCCCACACAATAATAATAATATAATAATAATAATAATAATTTATTGTTTCTCACATAACTTTTACAAACAAATCATATTGAAGCTCTGTAGCCCGTGGTAGTTGAAAACTGTGTTACAGGCTACAGCATCTTCTGTTATGTAGAAAAATAATAATTACTAAAATTACTAAGAATTTACTAAAATTACTAAAATTTTATTGCTGCATAACAATGAGTTTACATAAAATATATATTAACATACTGTCTAAATATTACATCTATTTAGACAGTATGTATAATTATGTGGTATTGTGGGCTGGTTTTGGTGGACTTCACATCTTACAATTTTTTGTAATTTTTCAGGCATGCCGGTTTCTCGAAATGTTTCCTTTAATGTCGAACAGGTGGTAAATCAGCGCTTAAAGTTACAATTAACAATGTGATATTGTGGGCTGGTTTTGGTGGACTTCACATCTTACAATTTTTTGTAATTTTTCAGGCATGCCGGTTTCTCAAAATGTTTCCTTTAATGTCGAACAGGTGGTAAATCAGTGCTTAAAGTTACAATTAACAATTCAGTTGTCGCTATCGTGAATAAACCGAGGTGACGTCAGTTGTCACCTGTCTCTCAGATTATAATTATACTTTTTTTTTTCCTCGTTCGGATTTCTTCTTACTATAGGTTCTTTAACTATTATTTATGCTGTGTTATAGGTAGGTAAGATGTTGTTACATGAGTTTGGAAGAAAAATGTTAAAGAAGAGATAGGTAACTAGCTCATCTGCACCAGTCGCCTTGTAATACAGTCGGCACATTTCTTTTTGTTACAGTCACACATAAACATGAGATCTGTACGTCCTAGACCAACGTGGGACAATTATTTTTATTAATTAGATTGTTCGTTTTTAGCATTTCACGACCATATTGATATAATATGAACAATTATTACAAATCATTACTTAAAATCCGACTACTATTTTAAGAGTTACGGGCGGTCATGGAAACGGACACGTACAACAATATTACCATCCTTTAGGTCATCGCCGCAGTCGGATAAAGATAAAGAGTAAACTATGTACATAGATTACATAAAATATAAATAGATTATGCGGTACAGTGACGCTGCAGGCGCGCTGAGAGTTGTGGAGACAACAGAAAATTTTTTTTTTTCTGAATTCACTTCTAGTAATTGTTCAAAACAAGTTTATTTTTTAATCTACACAATGAGACGTTGTAACGTGTGCACGTCACGAGGTAGCTTACTAGGTAATATTTAAATCAATGACTAGTACCTACATCAGAAGTTAAAGTTGATATTATATAACAGAGTATTTTTTAACATCTGTCTGCAACATACTGAACAGAAATTGAAGTTTTGATTGAAGAAGACAATGCATAAGAGGTAGGGTCACCATCATCACAAGTCGATTGCTGGGCACAGCCTTCCCCGATCATTTATTAGGTAATTTTACTTGTTGTGTATTATTATTATTTGTTAGTTGTCAGAGCCACGCTGCAGACATATTGTAGTTGTCGCGTGAATGGCCCGGTTCGACCGGGACAAGACCGCACTCTCACCGAATACCGGGGTAAAATAGCAGCCTAATGCTGCTGTTTCATATAATTACTGTAAAGAACCGGAGACCCTTTTAACTAGAAACGAAGCATTCCATCTTAGTTCTCAGGGGTGAAAACGCATCTGAATTTTGATGTCTTAGTACCACTAAGGACTAAAATGGAACGCCTCGTTTCCACTAAAAAGGGTCTCCGGTTCTCTAGACTCACCATACGAAAAAGCAGCATTAAGCTGCTATTTTATATTATTCTGTGAGAGCGTGGTCCTGCCAAGGTTGAGCCGCACCATTCGTGCTGCAACCGTAATATAGCTGCAACATGGCTCAACACGTATATGTGTATCACTAGCATAAATTTAAGCGATTAACCCCGGAAATTTATTATTACTTGTTTAAATAAACACACTCTTACTTGTATGTATTAAATGTGACGTAACGCCTTCTAGCAATTTGTGTGTAAGTAGGGCAAGGGAGACAATATAGTGGTAGAGTACAATTTGCAGACATATAGATACAGAGAAAGCTGTGAGCGCGCGCGGCGAACCGCGAGACGTCAGCCAATGGGAATGAGCTGCAAAAAATTAACGCTTTCTGGGTGAGCTGTAATCACTGCAAACAGTCGTTTACAGACGTATCTAGTGAGCTGAGACTTGACAGGTTTCATCTATGCCGATAACATAAGAACATGATAACAATGTTCAACTCCCGCTCTTGACCCGTTATATAAGCATGACGTTCCCCAAGACTAAGACCAGTTAAACGATGATCTACATTCTATAATTTGTTTAAATATAATGCGAGACCCGCACCGAACCGAACTCAAAACATGGAGGCACTCACTTCTACTATTATCCTATGTCCGGTGTCATTATCATCATTATAGCCTTTCACAAGTCCACAGATGAACACCTATGTTCAACAGTAATGTGTGCACTCTGAAGCCTTCCCACAAGGAATGCCACAAAGCACGGTCGTGAGCCATCAGCACCCATTCCTACCTACCGGTAACGTAGCGTTATTATATATATATATATATATATATATATATATATATATATATATATATATATATATATAAATTTTATTTGACATGACAAAAGCATATGAAAAAATTAAATATGACATTCTCTTAAATAAACTTTATGACATTGGTATCCGTGGTGTAGCTCATAAGTGGTTTGCTTCCTTTCTCAGCAATCGTACACAGTACGTCGAAATAGAAAATGTAGATCAAGACTCAAAAACCATAACATGTGTCAGGTCGAGGGCCCAGCCGGTGCGGGACTCTATCTCTCAGGGGTCCGTACTCGGATGTGTCCTCTTCCTTATTTACATCAATGACCTCCCCAAGATTATTGATGAGCTTTGTGTGATGTTTGCCGACGATTTTTTCGTTGTGTTCCCTTGTATCAATGGTACCAAACTTAATGAAAGAATCGACATAATTATAAATAAAGTAAAACAATGGCTAAGGTATCATAATTTAGAAGTCAATTTCAAAAAAACTAAACTAATACAATTCAGACCACTACAAAAACATGAACTAGAGATAAATTATACATAATTAATCAAACAGAAGTAGAATGTGTTCAAAATTTTTCTTTGCTGTGTATAAATATAGATCCGAATGTTAATTTTAAATCACATATTCAAAAAAATAAGTTAAAATTATCACAATTTATATATGCTTTAAGAGAAATAAAAAAATCTACAAATTTAAAAACGGCAGTGACAGCCTATCACGCCTACGCTCAAGCGTGGCTAAACTACGGCGTCATACTATATGGAGCAACAGTGTAGAATAACACGAACTTTTTATTTTACAAAAAAATGTAAACGCGTACTTGCAAATATCAAACAAAGAGAAAGCTGCAAACCTCACTTTCAAAGTCTCAAAATAAAATTCTAACATTACCGTGCCTATATATATTAGAAATACGTAAATTTGTAAAAAGACACCCAAGTTTTTACACCAAAATCATAGACGCGCCCCGACACAACGTATCTCGCTATAAGAATAACCTTTTGCAACTAAAATCTAAATTAAAATTACACAGTACAGGGCCTTACTTGATGTCAATAAAAATTTATAATAAATTGCCGGAATACATAAAATCCGAAACAAATATTAATAAATTCATAAGATCTTTAAGAGAGATACTTATTAAAAAAATTTATTATTCAATTAATGAATACATTGAGGAAAAGAATTTTTAAGTGCCTGCCCCTCTCCTGTTCATTGCTATGGCTTTCGAGGTGCACGTGATTGTTAGAACTTGCATGTTTTGTTTAGTCTCTAAGTCCCATGTAACGCAATTTGTGAGTAAATAAATATATATATATATATATATATATAATCATCCTTTCACGGTAAATGTTGATCCAGTGAGAAGTTAGAACAATTGTTGATCCACCTATTTGACGTGTTTGCTCAGATCCTCGTCGCACAAAGTGATATACTTTGATCCATTCTTGATGCGCGTGTGACGTCGTTGGATCTGCACTAACAGGATTTCAATATACTCGTCAGCGATTTGACCAACATTTGTTGATCTATCAACGGTCGAAAAAATCACACTGAATATGATTTTTGAGATCCAGAGTTTAATTTATATGCGACATTTACTTAGACTAAGTGAATCCGGAGCCATAATTGACGAATAGGTAGGCATGTCGATCTAAAATCGATTAATCGTAAAATCGATTCTTTGGAGCAAAATAATCGATTTTTTGGATCGATTCGGAGCACCGCATCGATTCACTGAATCGATCCAAAAACCTCTCGAATCGGACCGATTCATCTGATTCTAGAACCAGCGATAAAATTCCCGAATTGGCTGGGGTAAGATACCGCAGTTTTTTAATTTTTTGCTGTTGGGGGACGCAAAAACAACCGATCTTACTTGGTAGATAATTTGAACGCAATATACAAAACGTAACATAATTAACGCACTTTGAAAAAAGTAGTTTGTTCAGAATTGTTTACTGAATCGATTCCTATCATTTTTAATATAGATAATTTTTTATCCCAAAAATAATTAAAACTACGTAAATTACAGTCACACTAAATCTGCACAGTCAAAACAAATTGAAATAGACCGTCACTTAAGGCAATAAGACTTTTAAGAGTGCAGTTTTATTTGTGTTATTACTAATTCTGTCATTCAATAAAAATAAACTTTATTTCAAGCACGTTAAAATCTTTGCGTTCGTGGATTTGTACTGTGACTACAAGATTCTTCCGGAATTAGTATAACTAATTTGATAAATAATCAGTGCATAAAAATGTTTAACTAAAAATTCAGTGTATGTATTATGGTTATAACTATAACCATAATACATACAAAAAAATGTAATATTATAAAAAAATGTAGTATAATACAATAAAAAATGTAGTATAATACAATAAAACTGTATAATACAATAAAAAATGTAGTGGGTACTGTTGTTTCCATCCAAGTTCAAAATGATAAAGTCCTTATAAAGTTCTACTTTTCAGATTTTTGGGGACACATTGTTTTTTACTTTTGGAGCGATTATTTCCGAAATTATTGACATTATCAAAAAATAATTTTAGTAAACCCCTATTCATTTTTAAATACATTTCCAACAATATATCACACGTGAGGGTTGAAATTAAAAAAAAAATCACTTCCCACATTACATATAGGGGGGCTACCCTAATAAAACATTTTTTTTCCAATTTTTATTTTACCACTTTGTCGGCGTGATTGATACACATATTGGTACCAATTTCAGCTTTCTAGTGCTAACGGTTACAGAGATTAAGCGAGGAGGGAACAGACGGACAGAAAGACATGGCGAAACTATAAGGGTTCCTAGTTGACTACGGAACCCTAAAAAAGGGATCGAGTGGCGAACCACCCCTAAAACAAGCGTTTCAAGCTTACCAGGAGAGGTTAAAAGGAATATTAGTAATTTTAATTAATAAGATTACTAATATTTTAATTTCAAAAAAATATTTAAGTTCAATTAAAGAAAAAATCGCAAATTCTTGAAATTTCATGTTTGAATATGTCGCGATTAATCGAAAATCGATTTTTTAATCCTCGATTTAATCGATAATCGATTCTAGTATCTTCGATTCGAATCGATTCAGAGATCGATTTTTTTAAGAGTGAATCGACATGCCTACGAATAGGTACTCGAACACGAAGCGGCAACGTCGCGTTCTGTGTGTGACAGAGAACCCAGTAGGTTACTTCGTTATAGTAATAAGGTAAGAAAATAGGTTATCTGCTGATTTTGTGGATTAAACTTTGGCAGGTTTTATTGTAGAAAGATGTTTGTTCGAGTTTTTGTTATCGTGTGAGTGAATTTGTGTTATTTTATTCATTTGTCATAGATCACTTAGAAGATGATGGATAGTACTTTATTACAAATTAATTTGTCACTCGAGTGTGTGTGTGTGTGTGTGTCCACTGTTGTTTTGTGTTTGTGTATGTGCTTGTGCGTGTATGTGTTCGTAAGTGCGC